GCCTCGATGGATGAGGCAGTCGCCCCCCTAGCGTCCGTCGACCTTGGCTCGAATGACACTGTGATGGACAAAGCTGCTCACAGCTGATTCTGGGGGTGTATTGTGCACTCTGGCACGCTGTAGGGCTCTCGATGTAAGAGGAGGGTGTCACAGTGCCAGGCTTCGCAGGCTGTCCGTGGAGCTGTGGCGACCTCCACTCCACTGGTCCCGTTGCCGGGTGCCATTGGCCCCCTGCGCAACGGTCTTGACGTTGGTCTTCCCCTCTGTTTCCGTTCCCTTCCGTTACGCCAGGTCGAGGGTGAATGGAGGAAGGCTTGGATGGAGTATTGCGTGACACGTCAACAGCGACAACAGAAAAAGGAGGGAATCCACGAGAGGACAGGAAAATAATCAATCCATTCGCGGAATTGGAACAAACAATGGTTGCAATGGAATGAGGTGCCTTGCTAGACCATCGAGTCAAGCCCCCGCCCGTCCGAGCCTCCTCCTCCTCCTCCTCCTCCTCCACTACCAAGACCCAACCAAGTTGGACAAAACGGAACGGAAGGAAAAATGGCAGGCGGGCGGTGGTGGGTGGACACTTGGATGGGACAGCGAGGCGAGGTGGCCCGCTTGAGCCAAGTCTGGATCGGCGCCTACCCCGTTCTTTCGCTGCTGCCGTCACCGTACCATGTACAGCAGCACTGGCCAGGCGCACCCAGCTTCACTGTATCGTTCGCTGTGTTCATTCTCACGACCGTATGGCACAGCGCAGTTCGCCTTTCGTGTACTTGCCGCTGCTCCGATGTGCGGCTGGGAGACCAGGTACCGGAAAAGACACGACAGAACACCTGACCTCGTCCAGCCCTGGGCGCCTCTCGTTATTGTCCTCTGTCCCTCCGAGTTGACCCTCCTGATGAACCTACCTGTCTAGGTAACCTAACCTAAGTACCTAACCGCGAGACCCTCCCCATCCTGTCAACAGCCCCCTCGTCACTTCTCCCTCTTCGAAGTTGATCTCGAACCCCCCGTGCCTTGGTCATCATTCCGCGCCGACAACACGAGAGTCGATAGATACCGCATCACGCCAGCTGAGCGTCCCTCTCTGCCCACAAGTCAGCCGTCACACCCTTCCCTTGCCTTACAAACGAACGAACGACGGGAACCCGACACTGGCTGCACG